AATGCATAATAAATTGAAAGTCAGAAATTATTCTTTTCCAAGGTGTTACGTAAAAAAACGACTGACAAAAATATCTCCCAATAAAAAAGAAAAAAATAATTACTGAGGTATGGGTGTCAGATAGGACAAATGCTGTGCCTCATCTATAAGTGGTGCATTATTGAATGTAACATATCTGTAACAATATTTTTACAATCTGGCAAAAACATAGATTACAATATTTTTTTACAATTAGCAAAAGGATTTAGTTGAAAACTCTAAAAAATGAACAACAACAAAATCATTTTAGCAGGTCATTTTTCAGACATCAGGTACATCAGAATGTTTCAATTACCATATCTCCCACAACGTATATTTTTTGTTATACAATCTTTAAAATAAAAGCACATTCATTTTTGGTAACTTAAAAACAGATTTGTTAAAGACAAATATGACATCAAATTTTACACACATGTATCAATTATGTCAAAGGCACTATGTTATGCCCATTATGCCCCAGAAATACTAATTTTATTTTTTTCAAAAACATTTGAGCCACGCCATGACAAAACCAACATAGTGCATTTGCGACCAGCATGGATCCAGACCAGCCTGTGCAGTCTGATCAGGATTCATGCTGTTCGCTTACCAACCCTATTACATGTAGAGAACTTGATAGCGAACAGCATGGATCCTGATCAAACTGCGCAGATTTTATGTTAGATATTTTGTTACAGTTTCCAAAGATACCCAACTTATTTGTCATATAAAGTAACTATCTTTTGCTCTGTTGGTATATTTATATTGAATTTGTATTTTGTATGGAAGTCAAACTACTACTTTGTTTACATATTGCTACCTTTGCATTAAATTACTGCCATTCAGTCTTACTTTCTTTGGTTGTTTATTTAACATGTAACATGCTCTAAATGCATTATTAAAACATTACTAAACACATGTTTCACATTTCTAAAGAATTAAAAATTATGTATTTCTGAGGTATAAGGTGCTTTAAAGCAGAAAATGGTTACACTTTGATTAAGAAAAGGAACAACATTATATCTGAAACAATAATAATCTATCTGTATAATTATGTTTCGGCTTGTACCTTTTAACATTTACACAATGTTTACACAACCTATATCAGAAATGGTAAAATTATTACACAACCAACTGTATCGTAGCATTGTTAATTAAATTATGTTCTAAACTCAATATATGTGACTTTAGTTGACTTATCCTTTCACCTACAACAGTATTTTTTGCATTTGTACTAAAATTTTCCAGGACATCAATCATCTCTGGGACATCTCCGTGACAGTCACCTTATTTCCGGGACCATCCCAGAAATCCGGGACATTATGGTATGTATGACTTAATTTTGTTTACAGGGTAATTATAAGTTCTCCACATAGACTGAATAAACTCTTGAGGAACAGATGGATGGAATAAAAACACATTGAAGTCTTTGCACAGATTGTCACGGGGAAAATGCATGCTACTTGTGGACTCAAGGATTGTAAGCAACATGCACATAACATGCCTTGAGATCTCAACATACAGGCTAAGACGACAGAAATAAGTTCTTTTTGTTTATATTTTACAATCCTTTACATGCACTACAGGCATCGAAAAATATTTTCAGAGTCACTAGTCACTTCTCCTGCAGGATGAAAAGCTTCAAAATCCAATAAGCAGACATTTTTCTACTTGTCCTGCATCAAGTTCTCTTAAATTCTACTCATAATTACGAGCAGACAAGTGGAATTTCCAATCTCTGGCACTATAAACCTTGTAATATACAAGAGTATAAAAAGATAAATAATTAAAAAAACACCCTATGACATAGATATGGTGATGGTGTTTATATAAAATGGAAAAAACTTTGCGAGACTAATTCAGTGATATATTTAGGCAGCTATGGTTTATTACACAACCAGCAAATATAAGTGTGATAAACTAGTCTATATATTATATTAAAATTGAGCTGTGTCACGACAAAACCAACATAGTGAGTTTGCCACCAACATGGATCCAGACCAGCCTGGGCAGTCTGATCAGGATCCATGCTGTTTGCTTACCAACTCTATTACAATTAGAGAAACTGACAGCGAACATCATGGATCCTGATAAGACTGTGCGGTTGTGCAGGCTGGTCTGGATCCATGCTGGTCGCAAACGCACTCTGTTGGTTTTGTCATGACGTGGCTCCAATTATCTTATATGAATATATACTGAAAGACTATCTACCATAAATGCAATAAAGTTGAGGTAAATGTATTTCACAGTAGATACGCAGACACCTATGTTTGAAAAATAAATAAAACATAAATCCTAGACTATTCAAAACAAATGATTTTCCATGTAAGACTTGTACACAGGCAGTGACAAAAATAATACATTTAATTTCATATGAATTCAAGTTAACATATTAATATGATAAAAAAATAGGTTTTAAAACTAAAACACGAAACATGCCCTCTCATTGGTTAATTTTAAATCTTATTTTCAAAATCAACCATTCAGCTGACAGAATTTTTGACAAGTTTCTTAAAAGATAAAATTTACACCACTTTCAAATCACAATTAACTGGAATTTAATGAATTATGTAAAATCTACATATATGGGTAAGATTTTTTATAAAGGAATAAATAATATTGCTTTTTTTGGATTCTAATTTCATGAAATGAGAACGTAAATGACTGAGAGAGAAAAAACAGCAGAAACATAAATTTTCATCAATCATGAATCAATTAAAAAATTTCATAACATTGGTCAAATATAATTTTTCTAAAGAATATATTTTTTAAAGAAAAACAGCATTTTCAAAGATCCCAATATGTGAGCACTTTACCAACAAATGTGTCCTGAATACACTCTTATATTAAGGATGTTGTTTGTTGTTAATGATTGTAAAACTGTTGTTTTTTGTTGTTGTTTTTTTAACACTATTTTCTAGTACTTGTGCAAACACTGTTAAAAGGCACAATATGTCTTACAGAAGCAAGGTCCATTTGGTAGTTTTACTTGGAATGTAAAGTAATATAAACAATTATGTAAAAATAAAGTACCTGGAATGGTCATAACAAGTATTATCTGAATTTTGTTCTGTGGCACTATTTCTTAACTTTGTTCCCATATTTGGAATGTATAGTTAGGTATTAGAAACCAGGTATTAACACAAATATATCTCAAAGAAACACATTAATTTAATAAATTATAACAGACAAAACATTAACATAGTTCTAAACAAAATTTCATCAGATCTGCTAACATAATATCATATTAACAAAGCAAAATGTATGAAAATTGCACAAAATAATACAGAAACAACTCTTGTAGGTATTTAAAGCAGCATGATAAAAACATAATAAATTTCGTTCAAATTTCTACCTTACTGAACTTACATTAGGGTAAAGATGAATAAATGCGTAGTTAATGGCTATAAGCCAAATAATGCATCTACATTTTGTTGCTAATTTTATGAAAATTTTAGGACATACAATCAGAAACAAGGTTGCAAACAATTTAATCAAGATTTCATCATAAACAAGATAACAAGCAATTAACCATAACCATGTCACAAGCAAATAACTAAGCAATTAACCTTGACCATGTCACAACCAAATAACCTTAAGCATGTCACAACTAAATAACCATAACCATGTCACAAGCAATTAACCTTGACCATGTCACAACCAAATAACCTTAACCATGTCACAACCAAATAACCATAACCATGTCACAAGCAATTAACCTTGACCATGTTACAAGCAAATAACCATAACCATGTCACAACCAAATAACCATAACCCTGTCACAAGCAATAATTTACCAGGATGCCAACAGACAATTTGGAAAAAAGAGGACAATTAAACGCGAGGGATCATGGGGGCCGCATGGAGCCCTTGTGGGGAACAGGGGGCGAAGCCCCCGGAAGCTCCTGGGTTTTCATCCTTTTCAGATGGTCTAAAATGCATTTTCTTTTAGTGCTTTATCAAATATTTTCATTAACTGATATTGTATTACTTTGACCATGCTGCCATTATTCATGTAAAAAATATCGGCCGACATTTTGTTTTGCTTTCTTCAACTACAGAAAGACGCTTCGATTGGTTGGTATATTTAACGCTATCGTTAATTGGCTTACAATAATAGCGACAATAACTGAACATACCCGAAAAGCGGTACAATCTAAATATTTACGGTACGGTCTAAACATTTACAATCGGCGGACATTAGACGGTAGCAAACTCGGCGAAAGAGACCCCTACCCCCAAATTTTCTCCTCGGATTTACATCGTTCTCAAAAGTGGTTCGGGGACCTCGAAATCCGCGGATCCACGGAAAATTGGCATCCCTGAATAAACCTTGACCATGTTACAAGCGAATTACCATAACCATGTCCAAGTTGTGCCACATGCAAATAACCATGAACATGTCATAATTTGTGTCAAAAATTATAATAATACCATGTCACAAGATGTACCACAAGCAAATAATCATGATTACATCACAAGTTAAGATGAAATTTTAGTAATATATATATATGACCACAACCAAGCACCTATTTACAAAACATATTTCTTGTGCAAGCTGGATGAATACCAAACATGAAATAATGTTTGCCTTTCTTTATAGAGATTCAAACACAAATCAATTAACAGTGAGTTTAATATTAACAAGAATCAGATTAAAGGAATTTCACCATACAACTCAAAAACCCAATGCAAATCACTAAAATGTCTAATGGTTCCCAATTCCAAACAAAATGAAACAAAAAAAAACATTTTATTTACCGGCATTTAACAAAATTAAATAAGCTGTAAAAGAACTGACGCAAAAAAAATACACTAAGAGACATGTTTATGATATTTTTGTAGAGTACACATATTTTAGATCAAAGAAACAAGATAAATAAATATTCCATGGAAAAAAACAACAACAAATAATTCTAAGATAATTATAAATAAATACAAAGGATTTCCTACAAGCCATATTTCATTTATAAACACATTTATAAACACTGGCAATGGTTTTCTTTTTCAGCATAAATATAAAATTGTATAAAACAAACATAATATCTGGATTTCATCCTAGTTGAACAACAATCTTTTTATATAAACATATATATCTGTTATTATCACATATGCAAACACAACCTCTATTTTATAGTACAAAATCTAGATGAACATTTTTTCCACATAATCTTCATTTACAACTATTTTTAGATTTTTCCTCCCATTATTGTAGTGTTTATAGACTATTGTGCTATTTTTAGATTGCAATTCTATTTTTAGATTGGGCTAACATAATTGTGTGGATCTACAAATTTTTTTATTTCACAAAAATGAGAAATCATCTTTCTCTCCTGTGCAAATCAAAGATTCTGTGAATGTTACATTTCAGTAACTGATGTTAATCGCAAAAAGCACAAAATTAACTGACCACTGAATATAAGGTGAATGATATTTTAATGTTAACAAACCAAATGCAAGATTAACGATTCATTTTGCTGAAATCAAACGTAATTGGCCTTTACCACCAGTATAGCGCCAGACCAGCCTGTACATCCACACTGTCTGAATCAAGCTCTGTACTTTTTGTTGCAATACCTAAAACCCTAAAATTTAAAGGACTGTTCCAAATTCAAAGTATGACAAATCTATTATGTGAAGAATTAAATACAATTAATGCTCAACAGTCGTGTAAGCTTTGAATGGTTTTAAATGTATAAATAAAATATCTATAAACGATCAGGTCAATAATCATTCTTATTTTAGGCAGATGAATACAGAATTTTAAAATTCATTTTTAAACCCCAGAAAAATAACAGATCTGATAATCTGCAAATTTGAAAGTTTACCATTTTCTAATTATGTGAACCTAAAATATTTTCAAACTATTGGACCTAAATATGTGTTTAACATAAAAAATAATTTAGTTCATCTACGCCATTTTACTATCGCAACTGGATTTCTAGTATAAATAAGTCATTGTGTTGGACACATAACAATGATAAAAAAATACGCCATTTTTATTTATATTTTGGTTTTAAACAAATAATCGGACAAACTTCAATGTGAACAAATTAATGACATAACCTGTAAAGAAGGACTTCTCTGGATATATGGTCACTAACATAATGTTAAATAAATTCTACAGGTAGCTGATGGCCTATCTACACAGGTTTTACATTTACACGTCTTGAGACTGGTCTATATCATACAGATTTTCATTTTATTTTACCATTTAAAAAAAGACATTTGCATTCTCAATTAATTACACATTCAATCATAACTAATGTTTAGCCTGAATTAACAAGTACAGCATTTATCAAAGAAGGTTCATATATTACATGTATACCAGTACATAAAATATTGTACAAAAAACTACACTCAAATCATAGAGTTAAATAATTCTTCTTTCAGAAAAACATACAAGTTCATATAGATTACTAGTACTTCTAAATAACTGTATCTGGAAAAAATGACTGAAAGGACATGTCCATTTCATTCATTAAGGGTGGTAAGGTTTTAAAAACACATACACATATTTCAAACATTCTCATATAGCTTTATACCTTTAAATGCATAATCATTCAAACATGTCAATAATGCATATTTACAAAGCCTTTTTTATCAGTAATGTAAAGAAAAAAAGAAAAGAAAAAAAAACTCATTAACAAATGGAATTCTTAACACAACAAAATGTTCATTATTTACAATATGGCATTGAAATAAAAAACATCTTCCTCTAACTTCCTATTGAGATTCATCTTTGCCTTAAGATCACATTTATTTCCTTGTACCAGATACAAGACAAGCCTGATTCACTTCCACACACTTCACCTACGTTAGAGGCATTCTTTCATTCAATACAGCTGACTCAAAAGCATCATCCTGTAATGAAAACATATCAGCTTTACTTTTTAAGGTTGCAAAATAAGTTTTTTTTACAGATCAAAGATATGTTGATTCTTAAATGAAATTCTAATAAAGGGAAATAATCAATACATACTGAACAAATAGGATTGAGCTTGGTAAGCTCCCTTGATCTACCCTCAAGTAGTGTGAATTACTTTATTTCAACAAGTTACAAACAAATACAAAGGACACATGTTTATAAAATAGAAAAAACACAAATGCCCCATCACAAACCTGAAGACAAATAATAATAAAGAGTTATGGTAACAGTAGCTGATTGTTGAAGAAAATGACATTTAAAATACAGGTTATTTAATTTTCAAGGCCTTTCACATGTTTAACCTTAAGCCTACTGGAACAAAAAAAGTGACCTGCCTTGCCACCAGTATAGAGCCAGGCGAGCCTACAGATCCAAGCAACACTCTGACTGGGCTCTATACTGATTTTAACTTAAAGTTTGTATTTTAATACTGAAATCTCATAAACTTTGAATAGACTGTTCGAAATTCAAGGCTTGACAAATCCATTATACAAATTTACCAGGTTAAGGGTTGTGTAAGGAGGTTAATATGTATAATTATGGATGTATGGGCAAATTTGAATCTGTCCACACACAGGGATCAACAGGCAGTCATGGCATACACGGTGTGTATATGTCACCTTATCAATCATTCCATTACTGGAGCATAAAAATATAAATGAGCTGCGTCACGACAAAACCAACATAGTGGATTTGCCACCAGCATGGATTCAGACCAGCCTGCGCATCCGCAGTCTGATCAGGATCCATGCTGTTCGCTATCAGTTTCTCAAATTGTAATAGAGTTGGTAAGCGTACAGCATGGATCCGCAGGCTGGTCTGGATCCATGCTGGTCGCAAACCCACTATGTTGGTTTTGTCGTGACGCGGCTCAAATGTCAAATAAAATTCAAATTCCATTTTCTTCAGTTATGTATCAAAAGAGGTTTTTGAAAATCAGTTCTGTAAAGAAATACAACAATTTCTTCTAATTATACTGCTATCATTCAGGCCTAAAATAAAATTTAATTTTTCCCCTTCCCTACCCAAAAGATTTTTTCAGGTTCTTAGGGGATGAAAGTATTTTTTCTTTCAGAGTACAATCTAGTCTGTTATTTTAGACAGACAGCTAGCATAGTTAATAAATTGTTGCATATGTCAGTTGTGAATATATTATGCACATTATAAAAAAAAAAATTTCCTACCTACCTACCCACCAAAATTTTAATGGGTTGGGAAGGGGAAACAAACATATTTTCATTTTAGCCTCAGTGTCAAAATCTATAGCAGATACTTTGAAACAGATTCGTGTACAAATATATTATACTTATGAAAAAATATTTTAAAATCCCATCACCCTAGGCTTTAATTATCATCAAATTATACCACAAAAACTGATCTCCATGCATATAGTTGTAAGGGAATTTTAAGCACAATTCATATAATACTAAAACAAAAACTTTCTTTATTTATAAGAAAGTAAAAAAGAAAATTAAACTATTTCTTAGCAAGTTTCTATGTACAGGAAACATTTTATTATGCATTTTTTCACAATTTTCAACTTTCACACAGGCACCTAGTATACCTTTAAAATAAACAAAGGAAAACTAAAAGATTTTAAAGATATTTGATAAAGAAATCATGCAAAGTCCATTAAAGTAATTGTTTTGAACATTAACATTAAAATTATCATATGGGTCATAATAGTTCTTTGTTATTCTTTTAAATAGATGGTAAAACTTAAATTCTAACACTCCTTGTGCTTTTGTCACTGTAGACAAAGAAGACAAAAACGGTGTTAAATTGCCAATAAATACTGGTTAGGGACTACTTGTATATGCAGCTGTTAAGTTTTCTCCCTCGATTATATAGTTTACAAAGCCTTTTAAAGCAACAATAAATTTTTTTTTTTCATTTATGTTTTCAGTTCTTATAATGTTTTCTTTTCATACAATACCGAAATAATATCCCACATACACTAACACCACAGATTTGATCTATATCAGTTAATAAACATTTTGACAAAACGGCGCCAATCCGTTAGCAGCGTAATGACGTCATCCTAAGTATACAACTCATTCATAAAGGCTGACGTCATTTCAAACATACAAGAATGATAAATTGGGAACTGATGTAAACACAATAAAATCCATTCTAAGACGTAAGTTTTTATTGTTGAAATCTTTTTCTTATCTTTTCTTTTGTTTAATAAATTCTATATCTCAGCAACAGTAGGGTGCGAAATCGAAATGCTATAGAACGAAAATCGGCACCGGCAGTTATTTCCGCTTGAAAAAACATTAGTGATCTTCCTTATTTTATCTTGTTAGAGTCGAAATAACATCGGTCCAAGCGGTGTTTATCAGGTATTTAACACCGGTTTTGTCGTTTTGATGCAAAAAATAATAATAAATAAATAACCACTCAGGCCTACGGCCTTCGTGGTCAATTCCTACGCATCAAAACTCCAAACCGGTGTTAAATAGCTGATAATACCACTAAGACTGATATTATTTCTTAAACATTATATTTTAAGTAAGCAAAGCAGAAAGACAATAATCCATGTTCAAGTAAACATATTATTCAAAATATTTTTCCATCTTTGAAGGCAGCTGTAAGAGTCACAAACCTTAATTAATATAATAAAATTGCCTTTACTATGCTTCGGCTCATTCGATCAGCAAAAAATACTTATATGCACTTATTTTATGCCCATCTTAAGTTAACCACAGACTTAATCAGTTGTTAATGACAAGAGAAAATAGTTTAATTATTTCCAAAGGCTCAAGCAGAATTAAGCTGATGTTATAGATGTACATTATATGCAGAAAAACAAACAAATTTCTTTAATAAACATATATAAGGAGATCAGGCAGATAAATCAAGCAATCCCGTTATAACATATCAAACTGCCATTTAACCCAGGTATGTAATTAAATCTGGCACCTACCGATTCTGTCCCAATCTGTTCAACAAACAAACCATAAATTGTTGAAGCAAAATAATAAAATTAAATCACAAACATACATGTAATTCATATTTAATTGGTTCAATTTTACATGATTTTACTAGAATACTAATGCAATATGTTTACTCTACATACAGGGTTGTTATGTATCATAGACACATTATAAAACAATTCACTATGATACCAGCCAGATGTAGTCATTACCTTTTTGATTTTATTTGTAAGTTTCTTGAAGAACCTTGCCCCTTTACTGCTTCGTATCTGTACCGAGTCACCTAGTTCATCTTCACCTTCCTCCAGGGCACAGCTGTCTACACCGGGCAACTCTTCCTCCGCCCCACTGGAATTCTCCACCAGCTTCATGTAACGATACTCCAACCTGTACACAGATAATATACAGTTTTAGTAAATATTCTCACTAAATATTCTAGGACATTTGACAGTTCTGATAGCAAAATCCTGAAAGGTTAATATACAACTACACAATTTTGTTTTAAATTTTCAAATATTATAACATTGATTTGTTTTTAACTTTAAAGATCCTATATGTTGTAATTAAGGTTGTTGGCACACTTAAGTGAAATTTGAATATGTACATAATTATGCTTCTAAAACAATTTTCAAACATCAAAGAATATGTAAAATATGTACTGCAAGTATTTGTCCACATTATATGTAATCATTAAAATATATGCATTCATTTCTTATTGGAAGATTTGACTTTGACGTTATAGAAAATATATTTCTAATTGCCTCCCTTTATTAACATGAAAATGTAAATTTTGTAATATCTTTACAAATAATGCTTTTTGGAACTTACAATAATGATAAATCTTCATTTGAGCATTATATTTATGATATTAAACCATAACACAATTGTTTTACAGGATCTTTAAGCCTGCAGGAGGGAAAAAATTCTATCAATGCTACCAGTACAGACCAACATCTGCTGTGCTGTACATCTGACCATGATCTGTACGGAGAGCTATTTTAGTCAATTAATATTTTGACATTTTCCCTAAAAAATGATAAATGGTTTTGTCCAGATTGAGAAATGGGCACATCTTTTTAAAATATTGAATGTTTTTTCTACTCTTGGAGTGGGTCTGGACATTACCTCTTCTGTTGAATAACCAAAATAAAATGTGTAGTTAAACTTTTACTTTTTTTAACTCTTTAGTGTAAAACAAAACAAATCTGAAGATTCAAACTTTAAACTCAATTTTTTATTTTTTTTTTTTTAATTTTTATTTTTGGTTTGGTTTTTATGTCACACCAACACAGTAGAGGATATATTGCATTTTTTCCAGCTTTAATGGTGGAGTAGTACCTAAGGAGTCCCTCCGTGCACCGGAGTAGAAACACAGATGTCCTTTAAGCTACCTGGATAGCTGGATAGTTTCCTAAAACAAAAGACTTGATAGTCCCTGGCAGGATTCAAACCCACAGCACAGAGATGCAATTGTTTGAAGTCAACCAATCTTAACTACTCAGCCATAGGTGAAACAAATATGAAAAACTTTCCAGCTTTGCAAGGCAAAATCAAGACTTGTCGTCATTCCTATTTGTCATAATGCAGAATGATGCAAGTACTTTCAAAAGAACAATCAAGACAGTGTTACATGAAGTATAAATGAGCCGGGTCACAACAAAACCAACATTATGGGTTTGAGACCAGCATGGATCCAGACCAGCCTGCGCATCCGCACAGTCTGATCAGGATCCATGCTGTTCGCTAACAAACCCTATTACAAGTAGAGAAACTGATAGCGAACAGCATGGATCCTGATCAGACTGCGGGGAGACGCAGGCTGGTCTGGATCAATGCTGGTCGCAACCCACTATGTTGGTTTTGTTGTGACGCGGCTCAAATACAAATACTTACTTTTTGTTTTTCCTCCAGAAGAAGCAGACTAGTAAGAAGAATAACAATGCTAGACCAACTACAACTGGTACAGCTACCTGGACCTGTCAAAATATAAATACATTCTCTATATTTTCACATCAAAACAAAACATCATTACATAGTAGCATTTATTATTATTATAAAACCAATCCTAAACCAGACATTTTAAAGCTTTTCCAGTTAGTACCTATTCAGATCAACTAACATTTGTATTGTTTTGTACAAGTAAGAACTGTTTACCTGTGAAAAGCTCTAATGTACAATGTACAAAAATGTACATAGATTAACAAAAGCAACAAAATCATTGTCAAGTGTAACTCTTAGTTGTTTCCTCACTTCCTGTTTCGGAAATGTTACCAATGGAGAATATATGCGATTATCTGAGACAGATCACTGAAGTAAATCAAGTACATGTACAAATTTAGTCCCATCAAAGGAGACCTATGGCCTAGTGATTAAGTTGTCTGCCTTAGTTCCAGGAAGCAGACTCAAAAGTGGATTAAATAAGATACAAACTTTCTTCATACAGTCGAGACTGTCATATGTGACTTTCCAAGGGATCTTCAGAAAAAGGTCGCATATGACAGGGAGTCTCTAAATACAGTCTCAATATCATCTATCTGTCTATATACCAATGTGACTTTAAGAACCTGTATGTTTTGTGATTGATAGTGTTACTGTGTTCACGTATCTATATGGATATAATTATGCAAATAAAACCATTTTCAAACATCAAAGAATATGTAAAATGTTTATTGCAAATATTTGTGCACATTATATTGGAAGACGGACAAAACCCCACCAGTGAAAACCCCACCACTCAAAATTTTATAGAGTGGACAAAACCCCACCACTAAATTTTATAGAGTGGACAAAACCCCACCACCAAATTTTACAGAGTGGACAAAACCCCACCACTTACCAATTATTGGGCAAGATTTGATGAATTGAAATATATATAATATACAGTACACATTTTCACATTTTATTTTTTAATTTCAATATAACATTTGTGTAAAATAAGAGATTATACAAATAATTCACAAAACTGTTAAATCAACATCAAAGAGTAGTCATTTATTTGAGACTGTGCCACATTTATGACCTTGAATTATCCATTATTTTTAGTTTCTTCAAATTCATTTCTTCAATTTATTGATATGAAAAATAAACTACTTACTATTATCAATAATGTAGCACATTTTCATCAATTAATGATTAAAAAAATAGCACATTTTATAGCACATTTCTAATTTATTCAGTTCAGTCAATTTTCCTTCATTGTACTTCATTGTACTTAGTTTAAGTGGATAATGTGGCTGATAGCCTGAAGAAACTCGGGTACAGTCTTCTCCTTATTGATGTGTTGTTCACACATTCTTTTGAGTTTCTGCTGATGCACAATTGTTTGTTTTTTAACATGTTTACAAGAAAGTTTTGTCCACTCTATAAAACTGAAGTGGGGGGGGGGGGGTTTGTCCACTCTGTAAAATTAAGTGGTGGGGTTTTGTCCACTCTATAAAATTAAGTGGTGGGGTTTTGTCCACTCTATAAAATTTTGAGTGGTGGGGTTTTAACTGGTGGGGTTTTGTCCTACATTCCATTATATTTAATCAATAAATTACATGCATTGATTTCTTATTGGAAAATTTGACTTAGAATTTATAGAAAATAAAGTTCTAATTACCTCCCTTTAATGGCCTTTATTACTGGGTGATATCTTTCTAAATTATGCTTATTTGAACTTACAATATTGACAAATCTTAATTTGAGCATCATATTTATGAAATAAAACCGTGAAAAAATTGTGTTACAGGATCTTTACTGTAAACATATCCATATCCAAAGCTTTTTCTGGTTTGGTATCAATATTTTTTTCCGTATTAATTATGCAGCCATAGAAAGGTAAATTAAAAAATTACTGCCCAAAAAATCTTCCGTGGGCACTCTAAAATTAAAAAAAAAATCTAACACAAGTCTTAACCCAGTTTTCTCAGGTAGTACATTACACACCATGCTTCCCATGAACCGACGCTACGTCACTTGGTACCTGCATGTATCTACATGCTAACTGTGTAATTGAGATAGAGGTGTGTAGACTTTGTTTGCTACAGTGCTGGATTATAATTGGACTTAATTATTTTGGCCCTCTGGGTGTTATAATAGGTAATCTTTATCTGATTAACGGACAATTAAAAGGTGTGAAAGTCGTTTAAATCAAACATTGCATTGGGACCAGACAATTAGGGTCGCTTGTAACATATGACAGGGAGTCGTTTAATTCAGACCATTTATATAGGAAAATACGTTGGGAGTACTGAAACAAGGTCGGATAAGACAGGGAGTCGTTTAAATCAGGGGGTCGCTTAGGCAGTCTCGACTGTACTACAACTTATACAATATGTTAATAATGATAATTCAAAGTCTTATCTAACCTTAAAATTGAACCTGACATCATTTTATTGTTGATTTTTTTTTATTGGGTTTTAAGTCACATCAAAACTATCAATGTCATATGACTGGCTATGTGGATTCCACTTCTTCAAATGAAAAAATAAATATCCCTGACCAAATAGGAAACAACACTATTGAGGGGCAAGTGATTTTTTTAAATCAGCAACCTTAAAAACTTGTGCTACGAAGTCCCCTTAACATCAACAGGATGTCCTCATTGCTTGCTAACCCTCATTCATTCTTTTTTATGATAAATTTTTTAATTTATTGCCTCTAACAATTAAGCAGTAAACTTGACCAGACAGATTTTTTAATCATTTTACTATTAGAACATTTAGTACAAATAATATACATACTATAAGAGGTAGTGAGGCCAGTCTGACTGTACATTTTTGTGTCTCTTCTATCTTCTTCATGTTCTCTGGTGCCAAACAATGACTGGAAATATATCACACAATTATTTCTAGATAAAGGCAATATACTGACTTCTTTGGTATTCCTTACTTGGAAGTCACAGGTTAGCTTACTATATGATTCAAGATATAAGACATGAATGAATTTAGCCCACAAAATGAAAACAATGTGTAGGATATACATAAATTGAGAAAGCAAAGAAGTGACATGTCAACCTTTTATAAGCTATCTTGATGGCTCTCTCAGCATGAAAATTTAAAGTGCTCTTAATCATTCCGCCATGAAGGCCCTTGGGTCTAAATTTTATATTAATTGTTTGTTTGATTGGGTTTTACATCACACCAACACAGTATAGGTCATATGGCAACGTTCCAGCTTTAACTGGTAGAGAAAGACCTTAGGTGCCCTTCCGTGCATTATATCAGGCACAATCGAGCACCAGAGCAGAACCTGCAATAGGTTCCTCACATGAAAGAATCCAAAGTCCCTGTCGGGATTTGAACCCACAGCGGTGAGGGGCAAGTGCTTTAAAGTCAATGACCTTAACAATTCGGCCACGGACACCCCTAAATTTTGTATTTAAATACGCAGTGAATATATTCTGCACTAACCTTGGTGGGAAGTAGTGTATAGTTTGAGTGCCTTGTAAACATTCCCCTACCACCCGGTGGAAGTCTTCTTTCTGGCATATTGGGCATGCGAGTCTTGTGTTCCACATAAAATGAAACATGCAACCATCACAAGTGCCGTCCGCACATTTTGGTGGCAGAGTGATCTCCCCTTGTCCTTTCTGATCCTCGTCACATCGTAGACTGACCAAGGTGTGACGACCTGTAGGGCAAGCTCTTGTTGGCCTTAAAGAAACAAGCAAAAAATAATTATAATAAAGGGCCAAAATTCTGCCTAAAAAATAAACACAAAGTCCTGGCAATTTGTGTCATTGCATTTTATGATTATTGTTCTGTGAAAAATTGATTCAAATCTCTTTAGAAAGGAAGAAAAAGTTGCACAAAAGAGAAATTATATACAGCTTTAAATCATGGTGTTATTTAATCATAAAATATCAATTTGCCTAGTAATATATTTATTTCATAAAAGGCTCTTATCTTCAGAATCTGTTAAATTGGAGTAATGATATATTTTTACACTTTCAACACCTACATTACAATATAAATTGCTGATGAAATATTTTTGGTCTTTAAAAATGACTATAAAGATAAAAGTTAATCTGATTCTTTGTTCTTTCACACAGCTTTGATTTATTTATCTTTTAGTTTTAGGGATGTCTTACTTAGTTAAAACTTATACACTATATACACACACTTAAACTTACGTTTCAGCAGCAAAGTGGACTTGAATGTCATTATTTATCTCTGAAACATAATTGTAAAAAAATTTCATAAAAATAAGTCCATAATTATCATTTTACAAGTAGATAAATCATACATCTAAATGTTGAACAAGCATTATCATATGTTTGAATCCTGACCATACTGTAATTTGCATAATGGACTGGTCCAGGATTGAAATTTGGTACTTCTTAATGTTAACCCAGAAACCTGCTGGAACTTAAGTGATTAGCCTTGACTGCCAGTATAGAGCCAGGACAGCCTAAATGTCCATACAGTTTGATCAGGCTCTACACAAATTTTCTGCTTGATATCCCCAAAACTAATAATGGACTGTTCCAAAAATGGAAGCTGTACAAGTCCATTTAAGAAATTCATTAAGGGTAAATGTTAAAAGATTTTGATATCAAAATTCTATCAAGCACTTTAACATATTAGAGCCTTGATATTCAGACTGGCCTGGCTGTATACAAGTGGCATAGACAATTGAGCCGCATGGCGACAAACCAACATAATGGGTTTGCCACCTGCTTACAAACCCTATAGCAAGTAGAGAAATTGATAGCCATCAGCATGGATCCTGATCAGACTGCGCGGATGCGCAGGCTGATCTGAATCCATGCTGATCGCAACCGCACTATGTTGGTTTTGTCATGACACGGCTCAATTTATTATCATTACAAACATATAGAATTTTAAATGATTGTTATGTTAAAGACATATTTAAAATTTAAAAGGCTGATTAATCAGAATATATGTTTTATAAACATAAAGTAAAGAAAGCCAATGACAGGATATATAAAAGTTTAAACATATAAAGAAAGTTTTTCACTTTAGAAATAAATAACAACTTAACAAATTTTCAACCAAGAAAGACTTGTTCCTCCCTACAGGTATAACTTCTTTTTTTTCAAAAATAAAATACTTGACTTACCTGTAATGTCAAACCCGGAAGCATTATAAAGTTCATCAAGGGACTTTGTTCCATTAGTCATAGTCAGTGATGTCTGGTTACGTAATATCTCCACTAATCTATCTCCCAAACTGAAAACACAACACAAAAGTATTCTGTATCTTTATCTACTTCATGCACCCACATTCTTTTATAGGATGTTTGTTTGTTTGATTGGGTTTTAAATCACACCAACACAGTATAGATCATATGGCGACATTCCAGCTTTACTCGTGTAGGAAGACCTCAGGTGCCCTAATCTGTGCATTATTTCAGGCACAAGCAGGCACCTGAGTAGAGCCACCGGGTTTCTGTAAGCTAGCTGGAAAGATTCCAGACATGGAAGAATCCAAAGTCCCTGTCAGGATTTAAACCCATAGCGATCAGCGGCAAGTGGTTTGAAGTAAGCGATCTTAACCACTTGAACACAGACTTCACGGAATGGAAGTCCATTTGAAGGTTGTAATATATTCCACTTTGTTGCATAAGAAGCAGTATACATGGTGCAAAAAGCAGTTTTTCCTTGTTTTAATCCTTAGTATGCTGACAACATCTGATTCCATTCATGCAACTAATGCAAACTAAGATCAGCAGGCACATCTATGCTGTCTGATCATGGTCTGCAGTTTGCTATGCTGTCAGCACTTATTCTTAAATTTTCAACTGACAAGTCCATTTAAGATATTAAGGGTAAATATTTTTCATTCAGGATTTACAATATTCCAAGAATTATCTTCATTATTTGTGTATATCAAAGCTATATTGTGCATGGCTGATATCAATCTCTACACTTAGTGCTAATTTTACCTAGTTGACTGTGTGGTCATCACTGTACTGCTTTTATCAGAAGATGGTACCAGTGTTGTCCTACAAACCCGGGCAACAATCTGACTTGGCTCATGGAGTGCCTGGAACCAGAAAAATAATATCTTATTAGCAAATGCAGATTTTCTTATACTTAAATTATCTTCTATTAAAGCAGCATGACTCAAAATTCATGTTAATTTTGAAAATGTATCTAAAAGTTAAATATTGTAAAGTATGTGTACATTTTCCTCAAGTCTGATTTTCTTGAAATATTATTGCTCATCTGGAGGCATGCATCTTAAACGTTTTGCACAATTTTAATATAATAAATGATATAGAAAGATCTTGGGAAAATGGTCTTCTTTCTCTTAATTCTTAACTTAGTGAGACTATGAAGACCAAAATCATTAATAAATGTGAAAATAAAAGTAATCATACCTACACAAAATGATAAAAAATATACTACAGAACAATATTAAAGACTCGATCCTTACAATTTAATCACCAAAACAAAAATATATTATATCCCCATGCAATACTTATAAGAAACTTAACAAAGTATTAAACAAACAAAAAAGAAACTGTATATTATACTCAATGTCTAAATTTAAATAAGGTGACCTTTTTGGTCACACCAACATTTTAGAGGTCATATGGTGACTTCCTAGCTTGACTGGCAGAGCAAGAACTCAAGTGTCCTCTTTGCTTTATTTCAGACATAAAAGTTTGCTTGGTGGTTTCCTTTCATGAAGAAATCCATGGTTCGAACCAAAAGTGGTTTAAGGATGCAAAATCAGCAACCTTGACAACTTTGTCAATGAAAGCAACAGATAGCATTCTGATGAAAATCAAATTCTCTCATATTCAAAGTATTTCCTTTTATTCCTGAACAAATTCAAGAACTAAATATAATCATACTATCTATTTGAGAACATGAAGTTTATTAAGTTTAAACATAACACAATGGTTATATCCAAGTAAGTTTGAGAAACTTTAACCCATCAGTTTAAATCTTAACCTACAACTGTAAAATGGATTTGTCGCATTTTGGTTCTGGAACAGTCCACTTAAACAATTAAGTACTGTTAATTCTAAATTTAAACATTGTAGATTGTCTGTTCCTGCACATATGTCTAAATTTTAGAAATACTTTTATTTGAGAAAATCTTGGTCAATTCTTTAAACTATCATATACATCACCTCATTTAAACTGGATGGCAAACCTGTGAAAAACCTTTATGATATCATAAATAAAATACTCAAATTTTACACTTTTATCTATATACCTAAAATACAAACATGCAAAATAATAAATTAATAATTAACTTGACTAAGAAACCCAGATGTACAATTGAACAAAAGATACCATAAAGCAAAAAGATACAAAGTTAAACAATATCCCCATTTAAGATTTTTTCACAAGATGTAAACAAGAGTATAGAATAAAACTCATAAATACTATCAAAATAACCCACTAGGCCACCAGTACAAATAAAGAGTACTCCAGAGAGACAAGTATTAAACCCGAGTCAACCAGAAATGATATTAATCTTAAACCGACACCAACATTAAAATAATATCATAAAATATCATACAACACTAAAATCTGGTTTTCCTGCATGAGTAGATATATGCTACAAAAAGAAATGTATATATTGTTAAAATATTAGTGAATTACAGTAAATCTACACTAAAATACTACACAATTGCCCTGTTTTGAACCTAACAGTCCATTTTAAATTTAAGGTATTTCCATGTCAAAATACAAAAATTGAGATATAGAGCCTGGTCAGACTACATTGATGTGCAGGTTGACCTGGCTGTACATGATCAAAAGAAAAGGTTTTTTTACTTGCATAAAATATTTAAAAGGACTCTTGTCAGTACAATGTTAATATAAGGCGACAGTTTCTATAAATAGATCATCTGTTAAGGAAAGATTAAATGAATCACAACACAACGTACACATGTATACTTTATGTAATGCCCACTTTACAACTTACCATAGTCAATGAGTTCTCATTCTAGAATAATTCTATTTGTATTAACTTAATTATCAACAAAAATCAGGGAAAGCCAGAAAAGTTAACTATGAATTAAAAGGATATTTCAGAACAGGAAAGGCCTTAGTTTGTTTGTAAAATAAACACCAACATTGAAAAGACCATACCAAGAGTCAGGTTCTTCTTCTTTCATTTCAAGCATAATTAGGCAACTTAGTAGAACCACAGACAACCTGTAAGCTAGCTGAATAGCTTTCTCAAATGAAAAAATGAAACTCCCTGTGAGTGCTAAATTAATCCAAGTCAGTGATACTGGCCACTCAACCTGTTTATACAGTTTATAACTGACCTAAATAAGAACTTTGTTTGGGTTTTTGGAGTTGACTTTACCATCCAACTAACATGATAATCATATAGCGACTTTCAAGTTTTACTGTTGGAGGCAGACCTAAGACCAATGGCGTTCCATAACCTAGATAGATTGCTTCTTCGTGTGAAAGAATCAAATCTTCCACATGAGTTTTGAACCAGCAGTGGTTAGGGACAAGTGGTTCTAAGTCAATGACTTAAAACACTCGGCCATGGTTGTCAATTAAAAGAACTAGTTCAGGAAGTGATGCTATGAACTACATGCAAGGTGGATGTTTCTGGTAAGCAAACAATGGCAATAATATGGTAATACTTACAGAGTCAGATCTGGTGACATTATTCTCACATATCACCTGGGACTTGTCTGGTGTACCAAATAGACTAATGTTAAAACCATGGTAATATTGAGTACCACTAGAGGTGAACAGGAGGCTCCCCTGAATGAACTTGAAACTGAAAAGTAAATATCATAGTGATGTAAGTAAAAGTATACTATCTAGTATATAACAGTATACTAGTATTAAATATTGCTTTGGTGACTAAGAACATGGTTTAACAAGACAGTAATCTCTTTCCTCAATGCTTGACAGTAATAAACAAGAGCGATCAGTGATCACATGTGTCGCCTCATAATGGCCAATTTCATGTTGGGACAAGTTTTGTGAAAGACGGACAGACAGACGGACAGTGCACAACTAGACTTGGTCCTGATCATTCCTGTAAAGTTTGGATAAAATTGCACCAGTAGTTTATGAGGAGTAGTCCAGACAAGCTTTTGTGTATCTGGCAACACACAGAAACAAGAGGGCCATGATGGCCCTGAGGTCGCTCACCTGTATATAGGCCCCCCCCCACCCCCGGGCCAATTTTTACCCAAGGGCTTTTATTTGTTTATTTGAACAGACTTGGTAGACACCCATAAGAAGATGTTTCATGCTAAACATCTAATTTCTAGCTCATTGGGTTTTTTAAAAGAAGATTTTTAAAGTTTTTACTATACACATATACATAGTTAAAAACAATGACACCCCTGGGGCAGGGCCAGTCTTGACCCCCGGGCTTTTATTTGAACAAACTTTGTAGATATTTACTTAAAGATGTTTCATGCTTAATATCTAAACTCTAGCTATTTTGGTTTTTTCAAAGAAGATTTTTTTTTTTTGCTATACACATATAAGGAAAATCAATGACCCCCCCCCCACCCGGGCGGGGCCAGTTTGGACCCCAGGGCTTTTATTTGAACATACTTGGTAGACACCCATTAGAACATGTTTCATGCTAAATATCTTAGCTCTAGCTCTTTGGGTTCTTTAAAAGAAGATTTTTTAAGTTTTTACTATATGTATATAGGGAAAATCTATGACCCCCTGGGGCGGGGCCAATTTTGACCCAAGGGCTTTTATTTGAACAAACTTGGTAGACACTTATTAGAAGATGTTTCATGCTAAATATCTTAGCTCTAGCTCTTTGGGTTCTTTAAAAGAAGATTTTTTAAGTTTTTACTATATGCATATAGGGAAAATCTATGACCCCCTGGGGCGGCTCAATTTTGACCCCAGGGTTTTTATTTGAACAAACTTGGTAGACATTCACTAGAAGATGTTTCATGCCAAATATCTAAGCTCTAGCTCTTATGGTTCTTTAAAAGAAGATTTTTTAAGTTTTTACTATATGCATATAGGGAAAATCAATGACCCCCCGGGGTGGGGCCAATTTTGACCACAGGGCTTTAATTTAAACAAACTTGGTAGACACTCACTAGAAGATGTTTCATGCTTAATATCTTAGCTCTAGCTCTTTGGGTTCTTTAAAAGAAGATTTTTTAAGTTTTTACTATATGCATATAGGGAAAATCAATGACCCCCCGGGGCGGGCCAATTTTGACCCCAGGGCTTTTATTTGAACAAACTTGGTAGACACTCACTAGAAGATGTTTCATGCCAAATATCTTAGCTCTAGCTCTTTGGGTTCTTTAAAAGAAGATTTTTTAAGTTTTTACTATATGCATATAGGGAAAATCAATGACCCCCTGGGGCGGGGCCAATTTTGACCCCAGGGCTTTTATTTGAACAAACTTGGTAGACACTCACTAGAAGATGTTTCATGCCAAATATCTAAGCTCTAGCTCTTGGGGTTGTTTAAAAGAAGATATTTAAAGATTTTTCTTTCGGTTGCCATGGCAACCAGAGTTCTGCATGGAATTAAATTCTTTGAACAATTTTTAAAGGTGACCACCAAAGGAACATTCCTGTGAAGTTTGGATGAAATTGGCTCAGTGGTTTATGAGGAGATGTCATTTAAAGCAAAAGTTTACGGACGGACGACGGACGGACGGACGGACGGACGGACGACGGACGGACGCCGGACGAAAAGCGATCACAAAAGCTCACCCTGTCACTTTGTGACAGGTGAGCTAAAAACACCTTTTTATCAAAGGGCCATAACTCAGTCAAAAATCATTCAACCTGAAAACCTGTGCAATATGAGCAAGGACTTGAGCTACAGATCAATCCTGTAAAGTTTCATTGAAATTGCATTAGTTGTATAAGAGAAGTAGTCCGGACAAACATTAAAAATAAAAATTATTAAGGGCCATAATTCTGACAAAAATCATTGAACCGGAAAATGCTGACAATATGCACAACTAGACTTGGTACTTATCATTCCTGCAAAGTTTGGATGAAATTGCACCAGTAGTTTATGAGGAGTAGTCCGGACAAGTTTTATGACGGACGGACGGACGGAAGGACAGACGACGGAGAAGTGAACCCTATATGTTGCCACTACTTCGTAGAGGCGACACAAAAAGGGGCATTACTCTGTAAAAAGGTACCTAAGAGTTACAGGACCTGCAGCCATTTTGTCACATAATCACAGAGAACAGGTGTGTTGAGTTTCAACCCACACAAAAACTAACCAATAGTGTGACACTGATGTACTGATGTAAATACTCAAACTTAAATAATTTTATTGCGTTAAACATACAATATATGTTTATAGCACATACAACATATCTATAGGCAGAAAACATGGATTTTTTCAATAGCTCTCCATTTTCTTTAAATAATCAGGCTTAAACAAGCGCTAGTCCCTCTCTCTTTAAATCCCTCTTCCTTAAAACATTGAATCCACAAATTTCAAATAATTGTATGAAACATTTTTGTAACATTTGACTTGCATATTGGTTTGCTCTGATATTTCAAACACACACTGTGGCAGACTGGCTATTTATGACTAAGCTACATTTTCAAGCCTGATACTTTATAAGATAGTGATTCATCCAATCTCTCAGAATGTCAATCACTACTATCTTATACAATTAATAACTGTCTACTATACTTTATATAATTTGTTATGAATGGTAAAGTAAAAACACAAGAGTAATCAACCTGTTTTTCAACTTATTTCAAAAGACACACAAGATGTTTATTATTGTTACCAACGGCCACAAAAGTTGCCAACTAAAGTTCAGTAATTTATTCACTACAGAAATAAAATCATTTTTTAACTTGTACTGTATAAGTGGTTAAGTCAGCAACACAGAAATATTGGCAAATTTCGCGAATTGACGAAAATTGCTAAAATTTCCTGTCATTAAATTCTACCCTTATATGATTCTCTAACATTTCCTCACATGAAGACTTTTAAATTCGCTAACTTTTCCTCTCATGGAAATATCCACTTATACAGTATATGTGAACATATAAATCTACCTGTTGCTGAGATTTCTAAAGTCAAACATCCTGCCATTATCATCTGTATACTGTCCGTCAGAGAAACATGATGTACCTCTATATACAGCTAGGCCATGTCCGCATGGCTTGCACGAGTCAGCACCATAGGCATTGTGTGATGTTACCACTGTGCCTGGTGGACAATTCACACATGTAGTCGTGGCTGGGTCAATGTATGAACCGTCAGGACAAGGGACACAACTAGACGATACAAGAAAAAATAACCATTTTTTTTCTTTCTTACTTATACATAGCTCAAATTTACAAAAACTTACTAAACATTAAATCACATAACTTAAGCTATTGGTATTAAAGGAATAAAGTTAAAAACAAGTATAAAAATATTCAAATTTTAATACTTGTAAATTATGCATTATCTCTAGTAAAACTCACTTCTATTTATTCATTTATAACCTTTTTTTTCTCAAATTAAGTCATATGGCTACTGTTTGAACAACACAAGATTAACCTCCATTTTATCAGTCTTTTCAGGTTTAAATGAAGTATTGTAACCCTACTCATCAAGCTAGCTTTCAGACAAGTTATCTGGTTTGGTAATACCCCTGCAGCAGATGGGAACAAGCATTCTGAACAATAATTAAAACCAAGTCACAAAGGAGACCTCAGAAGAGGTTCATTTTAACAGTATTATTACCTAAATTATATTTAATTTCAACATTAAATTTATTCAGAGTAATGAAAGCTTACACCTAATTTTGACCCATTCTTTTTTATTTTTCCTGGACCTTACCAGTACTGGTACTTTTGAAACATGAAAATGCCTCCAGTAGGATTCAAACACACTTTTCTCTGTTTGAGTGGCAAACCCATTAACCTTTAGACCATTGGTCCCATTCAAATTATAACTAAATCTCAACCAACCCATCATCATTTGTTCCCTTAGGGCATTTGCGACAATTACTCGCCCCTCCACCCATGGTATTTGTGATCTGTATGGAATATATCTTTGCGGTAGCGGCGGCCACTGTTGTTGAATCTATTAGCCAGCCAGAGTTTTGGAACGCCAGGGTAAACTCAAAAGATCCATTCCTCTTAATATCATACCTGGAAAATTGAAAACACAGTAATTTTTGATTTTTTCTGTCTAAAAGATGACAGGATATTTCAAAAATTTTCTGATACTTCTTTTGTGAACATTATTTGTGAATATATTTTATTTATATATAGTCACCATGTGAAATCCATATGTGTGAATTATTCAGGAAGTGTAAGTCATTTCAACTTTTACAGATAAGATCAAAGAAATTCTCCATTCTGGCAGCAGCTACTTGCTCATTTACATGTGCTGTGTTTATTAAATAGAGTGAATTGTTGTAGAAGTGTGCACAGTTGGATTTCAAATGCATAGGAATATAATCATGTATGCTGATAGGCCTAGGTGAAAAATTACAAAGCATTTGTAAGCATTCCTTTTTTATGCTGTGCATATATCCTGTAATAATGCACTTCATCTTGACTGCCCTACCTGTTTGATAGGTGAATACTGTGAAGCATGTTAGAATTAGATATAAAGCATCACTGCAAGTGAATACAGTTTAAATTCATGTCTAAAAGACTCTTGGCTTAGCAATCAGACAGTTTTACCACTGCGATCACAGTTTCGTCAGTTTTACTAAAAGTGGAAAACTTTCTTTTAGTATGAAATTTTAGAATTAAATATACATGTTACAAATATAATTCATAAGAATAACATGATTTCTGGGTAAAGTTTTTTTTTTACCTCACAAACTGTTGTACCTAAACAATGACAAAAAAAAATTTGTTTTCAATAGAAGCTGAACAAAACTATGAGAATTAAAGCTGGTAAAGGGATTAAGGTAAAATACTTACGTGAACTTATTCCTGGCTTGTGCATTTTCCCAGCTTTGTATCAAATCTTGCTTCCCATTCTCATCCTATAAAAAAAATTGAAATAAATTCATCACCATTTAACTTTAAGTACAGATTTATATGAACATTACTGGCCTTAAAGTTATAAAACGTTATTTTCTAAGTTCTGTTTTAGATCTGAGTTTGAGATTATAGAAAACACAACCAGAGATGGTCAAAATCATATGGGGACCATACATTGCCTGAAACTCTAATGGATACTTAAATAACTATGGGCACACATAGGTAACAGTAAATTTTCGTTGATGCTAATCAGTCTTTTTCTCTTATGCAGCTATAAAAATTCTCTTGCGTGTCTAGGAAAACAGTAGGGAGAACCATATTGTACATGTAGCCACCTTTATAAACATTAGTTAAGGTGTCCCCAGTAAAAAGGTTTGTGATTGTACAAGTTCTTTATAACTTGAATGTAAATTATTAAAGTATCTTAATGGTCAGAAAATAAAACTTTCTTTATCTAAAGAAATTCCACAGCATAAAATGAAACATTCGAACTAAATATAAAAGAAAATCACAAGTGAATACTTACTGAAAGTATCACAAACTGGCAGAAACCTTTACAGTCAGTCTCAAATACGACACTTAGTTGTCCGACAGTACTGGTTCCCCCTTCCCCAGCTTTCTGTTGTGTCCGGAACCCTTTAACTTTGATCTGTAACACAAGGTAGGCACTCTCTCCACGTGCAAAATGTGTCTGTATATGATCTCCGTATGGTAACCATTTCGTATCATTGTTACAATTCTCCTCTGTAAAATCAAATAATGTCAATTAATCCATAACTTGCTGAATTTGTATAATGGATTTGCCTAGTTTTGAAATTGGAACAGTCCATTCAAAGAGTAAGGGGGTTTCAATATCAAAATTAAAAAAATGAGCTACCAACAGTAAAGAGCTTGGTCAGACTGCACAGACTTGTAGGCTACCCTGACTTTATGATCATAGTAGCAAAGGCTTATTACTTTCACTCCCAGTAGGTTAAGGGTAAAAAGAAACTTAAATCAAGGTTTTATTCATAATTCCTCTGATCATTGGGGATTTTGTCTTTGTCATATCAAAATAAAGCAATTTTCCTGCTGGAATAAAGATACTCTGTCCATAAGTTCAGTCTTAAGTGATCACCTGGGAATATCTATTTTAGTCAACTAAAAAAAAATTACTGTGTTAAAAAGATTTAGAATTCTATACAAAGTTCAGATCAACAGATCTACCAATTGCAATTCTGAAACATTGAACACTGAGCAGTGGAGACCACAGTAATTATAAAAGAACAAGAATTCCTTTCTAAGAACATTTGTCATGCCTCAACAAGATTTTCAAGACAATTCCCACAAAATAAATATGCTATAACTATTTGAAACAACATGCTTGACGCCACATACATTGAAACAAAACATCAGCCTTCATCAATGACATTTCTGTATGCCAAAAGTCTTTTCTGTTACCTATTTACATTCATAAAAAGATTTATCTTTGTGCCTTGACTAATATCTATGAGGGTAACACTTGCTCAATTAGTTTTTGTTACATTTTAATTATAAACCTGATCAGTATGTATGTAATTACACAGAATTTATAACTTAATTTAACTCGGCAATTTTCTTAAAACTAATTAAAGTTTTGTCTATTCTGAGCGCATGCGGTAATAAATAAGCTTAATCACTGATAATAAATCTCGAAATTTCTAATCTAACATCATTTTGAAGTAAAATCTACAGCCAGCCAACAAATTTAATCTCACTCTTTGAAATCAATATCTTTACATGTGAACCTATTTTTTGTAAACAAATTTTTAAATCCTTTTATATAAAATGTAAAATTTTCTATACATATATTCCAAGAATATCTTTATATAAAATGTAAAATTTTCTATACATATATTCCAAGTATATTTTTTTGTTTCTTAAACTCTTTCTTCATTCTTGTAAATATTATGCTACAAAATGTCTAACTTTTATTACCAGAATTTGAAGATTTCATAAACAAATACAATAAATTTGGAACCTCATTGCTTAGTACTAGTTGGTTCCAGGAAAGGATTCGAGACCGATTCAATCCAACACAATCCAAATAAAATAAATTTGTACAAACTAATGTGAATGATACTAAATGACTTATGATAATTATCAGGTTGATTACACCTGACCTTCTTTAATCATTTTATCTTCTATTATCTAAATAAAGCATTACCTGAAAATGATACACAGGTAGTTTCAATAACGTTCGGGATGTCATTCCAGTTCTGAAGCTCGTAGCCGTAATCAGGGGCTGTGGTGGCCGGGCATTCCTTACATTCTACGCCATTTGACATGAAACCGGGGGAGCAGTAGGTACAAGTCTTGTTAACAAGGTGCATGCCTGGATTGCAGGTGTGACAGTCAATGGGTTCGGAGGAGTCAGGAAGCTTGGCGGAGGATAGGTGATTTGGGTCACAGATTACGGGTTGTACCCAGCGGTAGATCATGCCCGTCTATAATAACATGGTGAAATAATAGATGTTATATATCATTCATGCAGAATGTTAGGCAGGATGCAAACATTATATCTTAAGATACATGTAACAAATTTCTTAATTCCAAGACCTATGAGAAAGACATCTTGCATATCATTTTGACAATAGATTTTTATGTACCAGACAACTTCTTTCGCACTAGTAAATGTTGACTTTAAAAACTTATATAACAATAACCTCCTTTAAGTGACAGCCCTGCACTTCCAACAATGATCCTGATTCAAAATGCACTATCAAACAAAGAAATTCGTATTTTAGTATTGTAGAGTCTTTTTTAAATCCAAGATCTAAGTTATCTAATACTGTATCAAGATATGCACTGTGATTTAGTAATGTCTGACCTATTTTGTAAGTATACTAACTTCTAATATTCCAAAACTAAGCAGCTCCCAGTTTTATTTTTATTTTAGATATTGTGTATTACTGAAATAGTTTTTTTTTAAAATGCAAACAACTTCAATGAAAAAAGGAAAGGGAAATTAACTAGGAAAGATAACTTTGGGTATAAAAAGCTGATTAGATTACCTACCTTACCATTCTCATCACATGGTTTAAGTATATGATAATAGTCAGATTCAGTACATGGAGGTCGTTCTGTACAGTTGACAGATCCTGGAGCTGTTAAGAAATAGTAACAAGAATTTGTGACAAGAGTTACAAACATCCCCCGACTTTACATGTAGCACAAAATTGTGCTATTTTTATTTTGTGCTATTTTAAAAGATTGAGGTAAGGACTTTCAGTGCAAAATTCTAATCAAAGCTAGATGCAAGTAACAATAAATTCATTACAGAAATATGATAAAATAACTCCTGTGTATGTGTCAACAGAAATACATTATTTTGTATAGTTATTATCACTATTTCAAAGCCACAAAATGTGACCAATACAAAATCAATACAGGATATGGTCTGTTACAGGGTGTTTTTCTTGTGACCCAGTCATCAATTAAGGTATGTGGGCAATTCACCAATGACATTTTATTTGCATGGGTCTGACTTGGCATCATACCCTGTAACAGATTATTTTAGGCTTTCACCTCAAAATGTGACCTTGGCGTTTGAGGTAGGGATCTGGGTGTCGATCATGACATATTATTATGTAAATCTTCTTATTATTGTCAACATTTGTGCAAAGTAATTCAATACAATTTTTATACAAACTAAAAGAACAATAAACTATTATAATAAATAAATACTTGAGTAGTATTTATTGACATCACAATCGGAACAACTCATAGCGCCCTCTAGCGAGTACTTGTTGGCTGGACACAGTGTACATATGGTAGCCCTCTCACTGCTATATGTGCCGGCTGGACATTTACTGCACTCTGATGTGTACGCAACACCTGGATAAATATATTATAAAACAATAAACTCCATATCTAACTTCAAACTTAAAATACATAGCTAAAAATAGTTCAAAAACTGTATTGTTTTTTTTTTTCATTACTTTTTCTCTTTTTTTTATTTCATTTTCAAAATTTAAAAATCTACTTGAAACTTGTCTTGCTTTGATTTAGATGCTGTACATCTCATTGATTAGTACTGGTTGGTTTATGGAATGTATTTGAAAGTGTGTTTTCTACACAATGAAACTAAAATAAACTTTTAGAAACTAAGGTGACTGTCTAGAGTCTGGAAATACTGCACAGATGTCCAGCCTGGCCTGGTTCTCTACTTTCGGCATAGTCAAGTTATAAGTGAGTCGTCATCACCAATAGCATTCCAGTTAATACACAAACTGTTACAAAGAACAAGCAATAACTTTACCAGTGACAGTCATCTTCCTGATAAGCAGTGGGCTTGTATCATCTGTGCTACCTATTCCAATAACCCGCCATGTTATCACATTGAACCCAGACTTCAGATTCAGCTAAAATGTTAAAAGAATAAAGGCTATCATAAACAAGAGGGCCATGATGGCCCTGAGGTCGCTCACCTGTATATAGGCCCCCCACCCCCGGGCCAATTTTTACCCAAGGGCTTTTATTTGTTTATTTGAACAGACTTGGTAGACATCCATAAGAAGATGTTTCATGCTAAACATCTAAGTTCTAGCTCATTGGCTTTTTTAAAAGAAGATTTTTAAAGTTTTTACTATACACATGTAGTTAAAAACAATGTCACCCCTGGGGCAGGGCCAGTTTTGACCCCCGGGCGTTTATTTTAACAAACTTTGTAGATATTTACTTAAAGATGTTTCATGCTTAATATCTAAACTCTAGCTATTTGGGTTTTTCCAAAGAAGATTTTTAAGTTTTTGCTATACACATATAAGGAAAATCAATGACCCCCCCCCCCCCCGGGCGGGGCCAGTTTTGACCCCAGGGCTTTTATTTGAACATACTTGGTAGACACCCATTAGAACATGTTTCATGCTAAATATCTTAGCTCTAGCTCTTTGAGTTCTTTAAAAGAAGATTTTTTAAGTTTTTACTATATGCATATAGGGAAAATCAATGACCCCCTGGGGCGGGGCCAATTTTGACCCCAGAGCTTTTTATTTGAACAAACTTGGTAGACACTCATAATAAGATGTTTCATGCTAAATATCTTAGCTCTAGCTCTTTGGGTTCTTTAAAAGAAGATTTTTTAAGTTTTTTACTATATGCATATAGGGAAAATCTATGACCCCCTGGGGCAGGGTCAATTTTGACCCCAGGGCTTTTATTTGAACAAACTTGGTAGACATTCACTAGAAGATGTTTCATGCCAAATATCTAAGCTCTAGCTCTTATGGTTCTTTAAAAGAAGATTTTTTAAGTTTTTACCATATGCATATAGGGAAAATCAATGACCCCCGGGGCGGGGCCAATTTTGACCCCAGGGCTTTAATTTGAACAAACTTGGTAGACACTCACTAGAAGATGTTTCATGCTTAATATCTTAGCTCTAGCTCTTTGGGTTCTTTAAAAGAAATTTTTTTAAGTTTTTACTATATGCATATAGGGAAAATCTATGACCCCCTGGGGCGGGGTCAATTTTGACCCCAGGGCTTTTATTTGAACAAACTTGGTAGACATTCACTAGAAGATGTTTCATGCCAAATATCTAAGCTCTAGCTCTTATGGTTCTTTAAAAGAAGATTTTTTAAGTTTTTACTATATGCATATAGGGAAAATCAATGACCCCCGGGGCGGGGCTAATTTTGACCCCAGGGCTTTAATTTGAACACACTTGGTAGACACTCACTAGAAGATGTTTCATGCTTAATATCTTAGCTCTAGCTCTTTGGGTTCTTTAAAAGAAGATTTTTTAAGTTTTTACTATATGCATATAGGGAAAATCAATGACCCCTGTCACTTTGTGACAGGTGAGCTAAAAACATAGAATGAGATTTTTAGAACAAATCAAATGAAATCAATAATTATCTGCACATAGCTAGCATGTTAATGGTCTTACTGATAAGGTTTTAATTGAATCTCTGGAGGAATTTTTCTCTATGCATTTATTTTTTCAGATCAAAGAGTTTGCCATAATTGGGTCAATATCAAACAAATTTTAAAACCACAATAAATAGCTTGGCCATTTAATGTTTTCATACTTTTCCTTATGTTTACAATTGTATGTCATATAATTATACAAATACTATGATTTTGGTAAAATGATATCTACAGCTATTGACATTTGTAAAATTCTATACAGTTATTGATTCATTAGAATTTTTACAAATCACTCAAAAAACTGTATAAAAGTGTATAAAAATTATTGGTATTTTTTCTCTTAATCATTTTGGTATCAAAATTTCAAATTCAATGTCTATTCTAGGATTTGAAAACAGGGGGGATTTTTATCGAAAAGTGAGAATTTATTACATTTGTTGATTTTTTTTCCTTCTTTCTCTATGTAAAATTTTCCCCGTCTCTGAAAAAATAGGGGGAATTCTCAAAAATATTAGTGAATGACCCCCCTCCTAGAATAGACACTATTCAATTTCGCTTATCACAAAATAATTTTCATTTATAACATAATTTATCTACACTTAAACAGCAAAATACAAATTTATGCTATTTGTGAGATTTAGTGTCCTAAAACCTACAGTTATTGTCTGCCATTCTCCTTCATTGGTGGAGTCAGGCCATCTGCTGGAATCTTTGTCACTAGAAGCTTGACACTGATCATTCTGAACCTAGAAAATAAAACATTACTAAATTCATGAAATAGTCTATAATAATATTCAAACTCTAAGAGATCTAGCAAAACAAAATTATTAGGAAATAGATATCAATTTTGGGTGCATTGTTGTACAATGATACATGGTTCCAGTTCAAATGCATAGGAATACAATCATTAAGGCAGATAGATCTGAATAATTAATTACAAAACATTTGAATGATAAAACTGTGCATTATTATATAAATAACACATGGGTTTGTGGGTAACAGTAAAGATATCAGCCCTGAGGAAAATACTGTTACCCGAGGCATTAGCAACACTGAACAGTACACTTGCTTTAACAGTAAGAATAGCTCCTAGTAGCCTGAGGGAAATCAACATTACACAAAAAGTGAGGGGTAATTATATACTATAATGCAAGAAAAATTTATATTTATTTCCATACTAATATGCCGACAAAAAGAAAATTGATAAAAATATGTTGAACTACATCGAACTTAGAAGATGAATTTCCTGACGTCGTTTGATTTATTGATATCACATCTGACGTCATATGATGTGTAAGTACTTGTTTCTAATGCTGTGCATATATCATGTAAAAAGCACTTGGTTGCCCTACTTGCTTCATAGCGGAATAGTCAAAATTTGTTTTTTGCCAACACTTCAGAGCCAGGCCAGCCTGCACTTCCATGACGAATGACCTGGCTAGTTGTACTGTTTGATGCTGAATTTGGAAATTTCAATACTGAAATCCCCCAAACTAAATTTAGTACGAAAGCAGGACACAGATTATTTAAGTTTTTTATATATAAATACAGTATTTATTTTTATTGAGTGGTATGAAATTAAATATTTCATCACACTAGTGAAATATGATAAATTCCATACCTCAAGATGGAAATAAATCCTGTATTTATAGAAAAAAACCTTTTTAACATTGCAATCTGAAAGACTTCCCCCTTAATTTTGTATTATTGCTGAATTTAGAAGAATTTCTTTAGATACGGAACATAATTTGAACTGTAGAGCAAAATAAATTTTTACAGTGAAAATATTGAAATTGAAAAAAAACACATTTTATTTTGTCAATATTTCTCAATATTCGATCATTTATAAGACTCTGTCACGGTGATATTTAAGATATAAATGTAACACAACTATAGCTAAAATATAGCTACAATAACTAGCTATTACAAACTGCATTTTTTTCTAACGAAATTGAGGCTACTTGTATGGCATGATTCCCCAACACTCACATGTACATAGAAAATTAAACTCTACTTGTTGCATGAACATATATTCTAAAGAGGCCTTACTACTTACTTATGCTATCAAATTTATGGGGTACTATAAAGTAGGTATATATTAACCTATATTTACTTAAAAATTTTAACCTTTACCCCAGTTTGTGTGTTAAAAGATAGTTAACCATAAGTAACATGCATAGATACACATTTATCAATAAACTTAAACAAAGTCGTATTTTTTTAACCTAAATCATGTTAAACTTGTACATTTTAAAACAAAACAATACAGTTTGCACTTAAAACATTGTCTTCTTTTTGTTATCTTAAAATAGCAGTTAAACTTTAAATTCAGAAGGCCATATTTCATTGTAATTATAACAAAAATAAGACAAGAATTATATGCTGTTGCACTAACAATCCAGTTGTAATTTTCATACCCCATTATTTCAACCAACAAACAAGCTCAAACTTAGTTTTTACTCTTTCCCTGCTGAGTTTGCATAATAAATTTGTCCTGATTGAAATTTGTGTGAACATCGTAAAGAACATTCTATTGGAAGTTTCAGGAAATTAAGGATTTGGACAGAAAACAGGATAGAGTATTCTCACACTAAGCATGTGCCGGGTGGCCACAGATGTTCTATGGGAATTTTACCAGAGGTTGCATTGCAATATTCCCCCAGAAGACTGGCTAAACATTGAACTATTCTCAATTCACATTGTGACAAAGAGCATAAGTTTGATAACTCAGGTATCACTACTCACGGCAACCTGCTGCTAAAGAAATAGGACAGTAACCTTTTCCAACCAAATTGAAGATTGAAAACATTTTATGAACCATATACTGTCATTTTTACTTCTGGTGAAGTAAACTTGCATTTAATTATCAAATACATTAATAGCCTTGCAGATTAGGCACATATTATTAAAAGTCACAAGGAAAACCACACTGTAAGTAATTATGTCAATAAATTTGCATAAAATGACTTGCCAATCTTTGGTCAATTATAAACTTATAATAAGAAAATATCTAGATTTATCTAACCTTAGATCATGACTTGGATTTTATTTCTGTTAGATAAATCTTTGATTATAACATATTGTTACAACTCAATTTTTGTAATATTGAATATTTAGTTATTTACTAGTATGTTTTAAGCTAACTCTGTTAATGAAAACACACATGCACACGCACACGCAGTTTTCCTATTTTTATTTGGTAAACAAGGCTTTAATGAAGATGTAATAACGTCATCTTAGTGAAGTAACGGGTTAAGTCCTCATAAATTAAATAGGAGTTAACCAGTAATTGCACAAAGGTGACAATAAGTTAACATAAGTTTCTGTTCTCATAATGACAGAGAGATATATTTCATTTAAAGTCTCTAAATCAAAGAACTATTTCAAACAGAAATTTTTAGGCCACTACCAAAATGTTCATTGACAAAATTTGTGCTCACCCACACATGAAACTGTGTATGAAACAGAGTGAAAAGAGTAGGGATGTCATCTGGAGCCGAATCAAACATCCGGATGTTCGGATCTTTGTTATATTCTTGGTTGGCTGATATGGCGTAATCATTTTTTCGCGACCAATTTCAAAGTGCAGTTTTTCGTTTAACTTCCCTTTAAGTTGAATGTTACATGTCAAAATTTTTCTTTTGTTATTGATTTTATTTTTTCTGTATAGAATATGACTGTTATCATTGTTTGAGAATGTTTGTGTAAAAGTGCTCTGATCATTTTTGTCAATTACATATGGATAAATAAGAGAGAAATCATCATCATGTTTACAAACATGTAGCCCTGGCTGTTTGATTCGAATCATCAAAGAAGTTGCCGAAACTTACATGAATTACACACATTTTAAGTGTTCATAAGTGAAAAAAAACTGTGAAAAAAAAATTGTTTAAAAAAATGTTGATTAATACTAAAGGAAAAAGTTATTTTGTCAGATAATTATCGTATCAATTTCAATAAAAGCTGTGATAATAAACATATTATTATTCGTAAGTGCATTTCTCGATTTGATTATTTTATTTTTGCAGATTTTTCATTTTCTCAAAATAAGGAGTCAACGGGTCGGTAAGCTGAAATATATATAAAATCAATAGCCAAATTAAATATTTAAATTTGGACATAAAAAATGTAGCATCGTTGCCGATGACAATCGCACGGGGCTTAGAATTTTCATATTAAATCCTACAAAACTTTTTTTTTTTTTTTTTTTTTTTTTTTTTTAGGCCCCAACTGGGTAACCCCGTTTATTTACCCCGTAATAGGTATGAGAGGGTCGGGGTCATCCCTCTGATACCTTACATGATATCTACATAATATTTAAATCATCATCTATAACAATATTTTTTATATAATTATAATATACATTATATTCAAACATTCAATCAATTTTCATATAATATGTATAACAATTATGTATGATAATGTATTATGCAACAGCTTCAAAACAAACAAAAAAAATTGGTTTGGGGTAAATTGATTTAGTGTAGCCTATTAGTTTATTAAAGTTCTTACAATTTGCCATCCTTCATTTACATGTTTGGTCAAATTTGTATTTTTTGTAAATATTCCACGCCAATTTAAGACTATTTTTAAAACCAGGTATTGTAGGTAACACGATTTTTCTCTTTGACAAATAAATATATCTTTTCAATTCTAAAAACAAAATATCATATTTAAAATCATTAACTTCAGAACCTAAAATAAATGATTTACAATTAAAATTATCATCCAAATTATCTATCTTGTCTTTCAGATATTGAAATAACAATTGAATTTTTGGACATTCCCAAAATAAATGCAACAGAGTTTCCTCTTGGCAATTGCAAAAAGTACACATTTTACTATTGACAATTTTCATTTTGAATAAAAGTGAGTTTGTTGCTAAAGTTCTATGAATTATTCTTGTCTGAAACCACTGAATATAGGAATCTTTGGTACATTTAAATACATAACTATATATTAAATTCCAATTTATATCAAAATTTGTAAAAAATGAGTTCCATTTTTCTTGACATGTTGGTACATCTTGATTTCTAACTAGAATTTCATAAACATACTTTTGTTATTTTGTGTAATTAAAATAGGGTTTTATATAACAACTCATAATAGGGTATTGAACATTAATAAAATCTTTACAAATAGAAATGTTAAGCTTTTGTGTATATAATAATATTGCTTTTTTCAAACTATTGATATTGTAAAAAATTTACTTGTTTTTGTGTCACCTGCTCTAAGTAAGTTAAATCTACAAAATCGCCTTGGGGATTAATAATATCATTAACAAATCTGATTCCTTTTTCATAAAAAATTTTGATATAAAAGTATCTATTTCCTGCTAACAAGTTATGATTGTAAACAATGGCATTTGTAACACTTGTTCTAAACTGTCTATACTAAGTTTATCTGTAAAAATCATATAAGCTTTTTAAAACATCTATCCAAAAAGCATTTTTAATTTTATCAATTGTCAATTTACAAAACAATTTACCTGTGCTAAACACTTTATCAATATTGAATAAAGCCATCACTAGCTTATAACATTTACTGTTACTATTATTAACATATCTTTTAAACAATTTTATCTTTACAGAATGTATATAACTATCAATATCAATCATATTTAGACCACCTTCCTGATATGTTTTAATAACTACTGATTGCTTTATCTTTGCTTTACCTTCCCATATAAATTTATAAAATAAGTCATTAAGTGTTTTCAAAAGTGCTGAATTAGGTGTTGGTAAACTTGTAAAGCAATGAGTGAATAAAGGTTTAACAACAGTAATTTTTCCTATAGGTGTTAACATTCTTTTTTTTCCAGTATCCTATACTATTTTTAACTTTTTGAAGTTTTTCATTAAAATTTAACTCTATCATTTTTTCTAAATCAACATCAAATATCAAACCTAACAATTTAAACTGTGTATCACCCCATGTCAGTTTCCATTTTGTCTTAATAGATCTTGTACTGTATTTAAGAGAGCCTATCCAAATAACTTTAGTTTTATCAAAATTTACTTTCAATCCTGAAATTTCTGAAAACGTGTTTAATAACTTTAAAACAGTATTAAGGGAATTTTCTGATCCATCTAGCAAAAGTGAAGTATCATCAGCAAATTGTGTAATTTTATATTCCTCCCCATCTATATTTATACCTTTAACATCTTTACATTGTCTTATTTTTATTGCTAAAATCTCTGCACATAAAATGAAGATATAAGGTGAAATAGGATCGCCTTGTCTACAACCTCGTTTAACTTTGAAAAACTTTGATAAAAATCCATTTAAAATAACACAAGTTTCAGTATTATATAAAAATAAAGATATCCATTTTTTAAACATAGGACCAAATTGAAAAAGTTCTAGACATTTCTCTATAAATGTAAATGATAACGTATCAAATGCTTTTTCAAAATCTATCATCATTACTAAACCTGGTATATCATTAGGGAGACGCTCAAAATCCCCTTGATCATAATCCCCTTGGTTGATAAACGACATAGTGATCGAAATCCCCTCAACAGAAATGACAGGGTTATCATAATCCCCTTGGCAAAAATAAAGGGGTGGTCATAATCCCCTCAGTGGGTAGTCAAAATCCCCTCAAATAATTTCTTTTCTTATTTTTCTTTTTAGTTCAATGAATTTAAGAACCAACTGCTTCAAGAATTGCTGAAAAAAAAAGAGAAAAGCATACAAACAATTAAAAAGGTGTATGTTTGTCACAGCCAGTTAATAATGACACCCTTTATTGATGTTATTATTGCTGAGAAAATTTGTAAAAATACAAACAAATAAATGATAGTTGATTATAATTAATCATTGCAATTATAGTTATATGTAACAAACAATCAATTAATCTTTGCAATGATAAACACCTTTAAAGGCAAATTTGTTGCACACTAGCTTTAGATCTTTCCAGATAATAACTTAAAATGAGGCTATTAATTGCAGTTTGCTATCTAAAATTACTTCATCTTTGTTTTACTTAACTGCAAACTGTTATTTTGTTGGACAACATTGGAGTATTTAAAAATAACCTGTATTATATTGCTAAAGTATACTCCATACTCTTTCCTCTACTCAATGTAACTGCTGTTTGCAACATTTCTTTATGTAACACAATAGTTTAGCTGGAGTGACAAAAGATCAAAGGAAAAAGAATATTGAGTAAAGGGGGTTGTTTTTCACAAGTTGAGGGGATTTTGACCACCCCATCATTTTTGCCAAGGGGATTTTGACTATCCATCAAGGGGATTATGAACACCCGGTCATTTCTGTTGAGGGGATTTCGATCACTATGTCATTTTTCAACCAAGGGGATTATGATCAAGGGGATTTTGATATACACTCATATCATTATCCTCAGTATATTTCATAATATCATACAATAATCGAGTGTTCTCACCAATATATCTATTTTTAACAAATCCTGTCTGATCCTTTGAAACTAAAATATCTAAAACAAGTTTAAGTCTATTTGCTATTGAACCTGAAGCTAATTTATAAACTACATTTAATAAAGTTATTGGTCTCCAATTTTTTAAAAATTGTTTTGGTTTTTTTTCTTTTGGAATGCATGTTATTGTTCCTAGCTTTTGATTTCTAGAAAAAGAATTAACAAAACTTAAATTTGATTGGTGTTTAATATATATTAACATGTGTCATACCTGACTCGTAATTATTGATTTTTTTTGTGGTCTGCAGAGATTATGATGTGTATTGTCAAACTAGGGTACAATATACAATATGGTGTCAACACCATGACCACTCGATTATCTAAACGCATGCTTTTTATCACATTTGCTTAATATTCTGAAATATTTTTTACGAACATCCGGATCCGAAAATCGGCTCCGGACACTGAATCGTGATTCGAACAATCGGATATCCGGACTCCGAATGACATCCCTAGAAAAGAGCAATCAAATTTAAACGACTAATGAATAAAACATACACAAAATAATATTGTATTCAAATCATGTACAATTTTTGCATGGTTATTAATGCACTCACTACATTTGTAATTAACCCATAAAGGACATGTTCACTTTCGATACACCTGTATTAATATGACATATTTTACATTCTTTTTAGGGCAACCTGCATCTCTACCAATCCCATACTCAACACATTCATTGTAGCAAGGAAGCTATGTGTACTGTCAGTTAAAGCTGCATGGCTTCAGATGTGCCCAAAAATTTCAATAAAATCAAACCTGAGAAACTTTTACTAAATTTTTTTGGAAAAGTAATAAATTCAAGATACATGTTCAATGCAATAAATGATTGGTTTTTAGTATTTGTAGCTTTTTTCTTTTTGTGCCACTAAAAAAGTGAAGGCTATTTTCGAATATTTTGACCTAATTTGGTAATTTACGTGGGTCGTAAGAGTTATTTGTAATGTGTACATTGCTTCCTTTTGGTTACTCTACAATATTTTACTTTTAAAATCATTTTCAAAATTTTCATGAAAATAAGCATGAATCTGGAGGCGTGCTGCTTTAAAAAGCTCCTTGAACTTCCAGTGCTTTGATATCCTATCTCCATTAACATCCTAATCATTTTCACTTTCTACTGCAAACAAAAATCATTATTTTGCACCACAAAACAAATTATCTGACAGTTTACCTCTCCTGCTGACAGGCTCTGCTACCTGTCGACAGACTCTGCAACCTGTCGTAATTTAGAGTGCATCCAGATAACAAATCAATATATAAAAAGTGCAAATTATTGATCTGTTGAAATACCATCTTTGGAAATGTCATTTACACATCCGGGAAGTGATATTGGAATACTTTACAGTTAATTTACCAACAGTTATACAGACTGGGTAATAAAATTAGACAAATACAATGATTTGTACCATAAAGTACCTCATCTAAGGGCTATAAAAATTCTCTGGGAATCAGTATATTCTATCATCGAATATGGTCATATGCTACCTTATTTCTAATCAAAGTACTTAGGTTCCTAATAATAGTGAATTTACACTGTTATATTAACGCAATATTATTTGAGGCGCGTCACGACAAAACCAACATAGTTGGTTTGCGACCAGAATGGATCCAGACCAGCCAGCGCATCCACGCAGTCTGATCAGGATCCATGCTGTTCGCTTACCAACTCTATTACAAGTGGACAAACTGACAGCGAACAGCATGGATCCTGATCAGACTGCGCGGATGAGCAGGCTGGTCTGGATCCATGCTGGTAGCAAACGCACTATGTTTGTTTTGTCTCAAAGCGGCTCATTTATTAATATTTAGTATTATCTCTAAAAATAGGATTGAGCTACATCACTCAAAAAGGCTTCTCAATTCTACATTCTAGCCCAACCCCTCAAAATGACTTTGAACACTTTGTAACTACAATATCCACTTTGTTACTGTACTGATCCCAATAGATTCTATGCAAGCAGGACAAAGGATTTGTAAAAAAATCTGGAAACAAAGTGATCCCTCGGAAGCATTAATCACAACAAAATTACATTACAATTGCAGACTTGGTTTGATTGAGTCTGTTAGACTGGTTTTATGCCGGTTTTAAACACATTTTAGTCATATTTTGGCTGTCCTCCATGTAACCAGCTGTACTTGATAACTAACAAATAATTTGGATGTAGTTGGGGTAGCTGAGTGTTAAGGCAATGGACTAGTTATCTATGGATAACTTGCTGAACTTGTTCAAACCCTTTCAGGAACAAGCTGAAATTTGTTTCCTTAAGCAAGTAACTTTACACTTATTGCTTAGAAGTGGATGGTTCCAGGAACTCTGTAACCTTATAGTTTCCTACACAATGAAAGTTTGAAAAATAAATTGTGTAAAAAGTAACTAGTAATAACCAATTTCTCTGCAAGAGACCTACTACTCATCCCACATGATTTCTTAATTATGTTTTTTAACCTTGAGGCCATTACCATCATTCAGCAAGTTAAAGTAATCAAAAGCTAACACAAAGTGTAAACAGGGATATTTTTTTTTGCTTATTGTATAGCCGATATTCGGTCATATTCCCAATTGAAAATAGTATATTAAATTATTATTTACCCAATTCACAGAAAAAAATTCCCAATTGCAAGTTACAAAATAAAAATATTGAATAACAAATTCTAAAATCTTTGAAAATAAGGGCTTCTTCACTGTTATGGTGTTTAAATGTTTGAAGATGTCATCCTAGACAGTGATTCTTTGCATTCATTTAATCACTGCAAAATTTAAGTCGTGCATTTTTCCTTAATTTTAAAAATTCCAAATTCGACACTATGGGTCATATTCCCAAAATCCTGGAGAAAAAAAACCTGAGTAAAGGATAATTATCTTACAACTATATGGAAGATGGTGGTTGCACTAGGAAACTGATACTGGAAGGTCAATGTGCCAGCCTTTAGTAGTGTGGTTGAGTAGATCAGGTTAGCGGCACAGTCGCCAGGCAACACAGCAATGTATGATCCTTTAGGTGTCCATTCATACCTGAAAATATACAATTTTTATTATGATAAAATTTCCCTCTTCTTTTCTAGTATACAAGTATAAGGGTAAGTGAAACTAACAACAGTTAATCAGGCATCTAAAATTATTTTCAGAGTCAATCTTCCTGCAGGATGAGTAGCTTCTAAATCCAATGTGCAGACAACATTTTTCTACTTGTACTGCATCCAGTTCTCTTAAATTCTACTAAAAAATACGAGCGGACAAGATGAATTTTCGATCTCTGGACGTTTTGACTATCACAGTCATGGTCTTCATCAATGGTTTTTAGTCAGCAATTTATTTGCAGCTTTTAAGATGATGAGAGGCTGTTTTAGCACAAGAAGCATTGTTCCCCATTTGATTTGAAAGTAGCAAATGAAACTAGCAAAAGAAGAAAATATTTACAACTTAGAAGCAGCAAATTAAACTATCGGCCGGCGATCATGATCTTGGTCTGCACTGGTCACATGGGTAGATTCAGTCACAGCCATAATTAAGTCCAGGGCCAGATCAGACAAAAACTTACAAAACTAGAACTGTGTCCAAAGGACACAGATGCCCCCACTGACAACATATATATTATGGTATATAGTGAAAAAATCAATAAAGGGCCATAACTCTGTTAATTTCGGTCGCAGCAAAAATTCTTTCCTTTACTTCCATCTACACATTAAGGTTGTTCATCCCTGGAAGTTTTAGCAAAATCTGCCATCCGGTTTAAGAGGAGTTGCGTTCACAAAATTTCTATATGGTATATAGTGAAAAAATCAACAAAGGGCCATAATTCTGTTAAATTTAGTCGCAGCAAAAATTCCTTCCTTTACTACCATCTACACATAAAGGTTGTTCATCCCTGGAAGATTAAGCAAAATCTGCCATTGGGTTCAAGAGGAGTTGCATTCACAAAATTTGGGACGTACGGACGGATGTATGTACGGACGGACATTCCTACGAATGGTCATTTATTGGGTACTTCTTTTGTTTAAAGGTACCCAACAAGAGGACATAAGTACCCAACAAAACAGACGGAATGAACAGAATTACGCAATAAGTGTCCTCTCGTGTGTTGGAGGTACCCAACAAGTATCCTCTCTTTTGCCCGGACAGACAAACGGACGGACAAGTGCAACGCTATATGCTCCCACTTTGTGAGGGCATAATAAGCAAATACAACAGGTTTTATCATAATACAAATGTATGTTGTTTTTTTAAAACTGTAATATATTTGACTTAATACTATGAACTGAAAGTTTAAATCTTTACTTGGATTTAACTTAACTAAAACCCATCATTTTACAACATACAAAATACTGTTAAAGTTTCATTGCGGAGATTTTGTCATAATTATAAGGGTAATATGATTATTATTTAGATATGATGTATAAGTTTTACATAAATTCTTGCAGGTATATTTTGCTTGACTGCTGCATCAATAAAGCTATACATGAACAGTTAAATTAAATAGATCTTCTCTTAAAACAGAGCTCATTATTAAATAATACTATGAAAAGGCAATATCCATGCTTAAATCTGTAACTTTATCCTTTACACAGTCCATGCTTAAATCTGTAACTTTGGATAGTAGCTGAACAGGATATAAAATCAGCCATGTATAGTCTGATTTTATTGACCTGTCAATTATGCATACATTATAGAACTCATTTAAATATTCGATCCCACTTCGGTTTGGTCCGTGTAGTTTACGAGAATTAATGTGGAGTATATTAGTCATGGATTGAAAGTCACGCCAGCTTAATGTGAAGGTTTTCGTTAATTCACAATAGTACAGTCGGTTAAGAGAATGCCTGATAAATTAGAGGTCTGTGGTTCGATCCTTGCTGTTGCCATTGTTTTAGTACTCTTTCTTTATTTTTGCCGTATATTTTAATGGAACAGTTTGTAGTGTGTTTTACAGCATTGAAAAGACATTTATTGATTTAAATCCGTTTTAATTTTAAACATGAATTCTTAAAACATGTTATTTAAAAAGAATATAGATATAACAAAATTAAGTAAAACATAATAAAACAAAACGAACAACATAAAATAATCATATATAGCTCCAATATTGTTGAAAGTATTAATAAGAAAATAAAAACATAGACCTACTTTACCCTATTGCGCTATAACGCTGAGTACACTTTGTTTAGAGATACAAATTAAATTAAATTCCATCGTACAGCGTACATCTCACGGAACTTACCGAAAATCTACCGAAGATTAATATACTGTGTGCATCGACCGTGTAATCAGTATGTAATTGACAGGTTAATAAAACCAAACAATATATAGTTATATATGTTATAATCTATTGCAGTGTTTTTTTTTCACCAAAATATTCGGCGAAATTCTCCCTATTCCCCCCTCAAAATAGTATGTTTTTTTCCCCCCTCAAAGCTGAAATTTCCCCCTATAATATGGCAGCCCAAATCTGCCTGCAATGAATATCATTTTTTTGCAACTAACTGCCGAAAAATGCTTTATTTTATGCCTGTAAGACTTACTGTTAAGCAAGGTTTTTCATATAGGTAAGGAAAGCTACTCCTGGTATCCCAACAAGTTTATCATGTGACACATCAATATTTTAGATCCGTATAAAAATCCCCCTCCTATTGCATTTTTCCCCCTCCAATGGGCACCGACCCCCTTCCCCCAAAAGTGAAAAAAAACACTGTATTGATATGAGGTATCAAGAACATAATTGGTTTTGGTAATTTACAGACAGATGGTCACGACTTTGTAATACAATGAACTAACAATTTCTGTAACATTGTAAATAAGCAAAAGTTCATTAAGCTTAAAGAAATTTCCTTTTTGTTTCCTTTTGTTCTTTTTCTGGTATTAGCTTATTGCTATGTAATACATGAAAACAATCTAAGTTTCTTCTGTATAAGGTAGCTAGATAGTGTCATAAATATAACAATTTAAAGGGATACTCACGCAAATTTTAAATGACAAAAATATCAAAATTATCTTATGTACTCAAATCACACTAAACTGACATTTGTAAATGTCCCAGCATGAATTTCTGTATAAATCTTATATATTTTGTTTTTGAAGCGTATTTTCTTCAATAGCAATGGCAGACTATTATTTCATGTTTATTGTATTTATAGTAAACATGTTTTTTTTTAACCCTTTCATCACAAAGTAGCAAAGTTATGCATTCTGATCATGGTCAAGCATTCCACTTAAAAACTGCATATTTATATTAGAAATATGTTAAAGGCCTGGTGTAGAGTTAAATGGACATGGTGGTATCATATTATTATGTTGGGCTGCACATTTTGGTGACCATGTCACTTAAGTTTGTTCATAAAGGTCATATAAAAGGTCAGAGTGACAGCTGCAACAATGGTTGTTAAATTTCTTGCAAATATGTGTGTGACCTTCATTATAATTAAATGACCTTCATAAAAAAGGTCACCTGGCCTTATTCAACATCACTTTAAACACAAACTACTTCCACATTAATTGGTAGGAGATTTTGATATAATGTTCCCAAGAAGATATGAATAAATTAAATTAAAATCAAAGAAAAATGTCCAATAACAACTAGTTTTAGTATTTCCAAAAGAAGACATGATCATAAGTTCATAAAGATATAAGCATGGTAAGGGATCATGGAAAGACTGGTAGGAACTTAAATTGTTGTCATGTTTAAATTACCATGCCAATGATAAAACTCATGTGCATGACATGTAACATGTGGGAAACATGATAGATGTACTATCATATGACAATGTGAGTAACATATTATACTTCTAGTACAAGCTGCCAGTAAAAGCTCAACAACATATTGTTTGGACATCTGTTACTTTATAATTATGAACTGATGCATCAATTTTTCAAAAAAATAAACTATGCTAAACAGACTGAAAGTTGAAATTGGTATTTGAATGTAAACTGTAAAAGTTGAAGGCCTTTGTCCGCAGAATAGTCTAGTCAAGCCAACCCCAACATTCATGCAGTCTGACCTGGACTTATCATATATGTATCTTAAGTTTGTATTTTAATCCCTTAACTTGTAACTATTATGGACTGATACCCAGACAGGCCGGCCTTTTCCTTGCTATAATTTCATGGAAAGAGTACATAGCCCAGTCTATGGAAATTTGGCATCATAAAATTGCTTAATTGGGAAATTATTTGATACCTTTATAAACCTCTTTTCAGGCTCTTTTATCTTTATACTTTGAATTGTGTGACACTGTTTATTCTAAACCATCAAAACAAATGCAATAAATATTGAAGATAAAATAAAAATAACATCTGTTTAGATTGAACGTCAGTAAATTTGCCTGTAAAATTGGATATTGGGAAATTTAGTTCAATATGGATTCCCATTTTCAAAGATTGGGAAAAATATAAGCATATTAATTTTGCCATTGGGAATGGGTCTGATAATCTGACCCCTGGTGACACAGGGAAAAACTTCAGAAAAAGGCATGGCATAATAGGTCAATTATTCAAATATTCAGCAGCACACTGAGAGAAATTAAAGGCGTTAAAATTAACAAACTTCTGTGACACAATCCTGATCCACAACTACAACAATTACTTTCTCTCAATCTGCATTTTTTGTTCTTTAATCATGACAGAATCAATCATGAAATTTTAAGCCTCAGTCTCACTTACTCCCGGCAGAGCCCAGGACCATCCCGGTAAGTTACCGGGATGATCCGGGATGAAATTATTGTTGCGGTCACACTTACCCCGGCAGCACTATGGTAGTTCCCTACTAACCACCCAGGATGCGCTCCGGATCATCCAGGCAGAGCCCAGGTGAAGCTACGGTTCATGCCGGTGCTTACCCGGTCGTTCCCGGATGACCCCGGAAGAGCCCCGGTTGACCCAGGCAGAGCCCCGGTCGATCCAGGCAGAGTCCCGGCAGAGCCCAGGACGATCCAGGCAGAGCCCCGGTAGAACCCCGGTGGATTGAAAACGCCCGAAAATGATAACATTGATACATAATTTTTATTTAATATAATATCTATTGT